CCCTGACCTCCCACGCCGTCGCATCGATTTGACGCGTTAAAAGATTGTAATATCTCTAATTTTAAATCAACATAACTTCTAAACCATTAGATATCAGATGGTCTGTAATATGTCATATAAAAGCTTATCTAGTCTTGTATTTTTAACTGGCAATATTTTTTACGAGATGTTTTGATGAGATGTGTAAGTCTAATTTTAGTCCCATCTACTAATTTTTTGTATTTTGGTAAGATTTAATACCTTTTTTAGAAATGTATCATCAATTTCAGTTAAATTTTGAAAAGTATACAAAATTACCTTTCCGGGAATATAAGGATGACTTTCTTGACATACGCATAACTCATTTTAATGCAGAATTTGTATTATCGATTACAATGGTTGGCGAACAAAATTGATCAACTATTTTGACGCCAAGTTTGCGTAACGACGCAAAGGGCGACGACGACATTTAGTTTATGCGACATTTAGTGCGTAACGATTTGCGTGAGGTAGATATGCGACGTTTAGTGCGTAACGATTTGCGTGAGGTAGATTGCGACAAACAAAATCACGAATAAAAATGCTTCTAAAATTTGAATGGTGCAACATAATTTCAATCTAATGGTATCACTGGAAAGCTATCTTCAAATTCTACAAATGTTGTCGATAATGTACTAGGTTTAATCGAAAACAAATTGAAGTTATGTCAATTAGACTTGAGCAATTTTCAGAAGTTTTTTATGCTTTTTAATTTTGCCAATTTTCATAAGATGATCACAATATTTTATCTCAATTTTGAAATTATACCTAGTCCTGTAGATTATCTTTCACACGATGCAAAACTTGTCTAAATATAATATATGGTTCGCGAGATATGAGGTTTCAAAGTTGCATACTTCTTACGGGATGCGAAAGCCGCTAAAGCGGCTTTCAGCGTCAGAAGACTTTCTCGGGAAAGCCGCTATAGCGGCTTTCACGGTTCAAAGAGTTAAAAACGCTTCTGTGAAAATGAAAACTAAAAGATTTCTGGGGTCAGATTTTTAATTTTAATTGCGTAGCTTTCGTGGGCGCGATGTACCTTTTGGTCAATTCTAAAACTACCGACGGGGCCTGATTTATAAGATAATTAATGTAAGGTAAACTCAATCGATTTTTACATAATAATCTGGCACGTTATCCACATTTTAATGTCCGCGGAATGCGGTGGTATTTCAGAGGGGTAATGCTTATATTTTATCAAAGCAGCCGCGGGTTAAGTTGAAAACAACAAGACATTTCAATGTGCCCTTATCAATGCATTTTAAATATATCCGTATCGCAAAAATAGATATAGTATATCTCACATTTTTAAATCCGCAGATAGCCGTGGTATTTTAGAGCAGACCTTTAAGCTCGCAACGCCTTCCAATGCATTAAAATTACCGCGAACCTTGTTCACCTCAAAAATGCTATGATGACAGCAAAGTTATATGAATCACGATGTTTGGCCACCAAAGGCATGGTCCTAATTCCGCATTGTTACTCACTTTCCACCATTAATGACAAAATTCGGCATTGTTATACAAGCGTTCTGTTTCTCTGATCCAATGTATCGCAAAAATAGATATAGTATATAAAGTATATCTCACATTTTTAAATCCGCAGATAGCCGTGGTATTTTAGAGCAGACCTTTAAGCTCGCAACGCCTTCCAATGCATTAAAATTACCGCGAACCTTGTTCACCTCAAAAATGCTATGATGACAGCAAAGTTATATGAATCACGATGTTTGGCCACCAAAGGCATGGTCCTAATTCCGCATTGTTACTCACTTTCCACCATTAATGACAAAATTCGGCATTGTTATACAAGCGTTCTGTTTCTCTGATCCAATGTAGTGTCTCGAAATCGCCAGATTTATGTTTAAATTAGTTTTATTAAATGTGCTTTGAATAAAAATTCTAACAAAGTACAATAGATATAGTACTTATTTATATACTTACTTATACATAGTACGTATTTAAATGTGTAATAAAATACAATGATAACGCGCAATTGACTCTACTTAGTCCGGCCCGCCACTGCATTTTGAATATTCAATGTGGCCCGATACCAAAAATAATTGCCCAGCCCTGCCTTAGAGGGAACACTGTACAGGAGTATCCTTTTCTGTAGCTTGGTATTTTGCTCTATTTTTCTATAAAGGCTTATCGAAGAAAATGATTTGGTGGCATCCCGCGTTTTTTTTTTTGATCGAATATTGACAATTTGGTAAAAATTGAAAATTTTGATAAAATAATTGAATGTGGCTCAATTAGATGGGCCGTGGCCTCGGCCCATGGAGGAGTCACTACCCCTGTATGAAATCCTGGCTTTACTAAGATTTGAGGAATGGTGAATGGCGAATAGTGCCGTACTTGGTGTTATATCACAGTAGTGACTCGGATCGTTGGTGTTATCACAGTTGTGAGTCGGATCATCTTGCAATTTCAATTCACGCTGTCACAAGACAGGAACTTCTAAAGATAGGACAGTTCCGGTACCGTAACATAGCTCGGTGACACTGAAATAACTCGTAACTGTCTCGTAAAAGCGGAGCTTGCAGTCACTGTTATAACTGATGTCTTTAAATGTTGGTGCATTTCTTGGAATCGATAAACGTGTCCATATATTTGAGCATAGCTCTCTCGTTTTTTTTTTCAAATGTTTTCTAAGTCCGACATTTCACCCATAATTTTGGCTGTTTTAATTTAATCCACATAAATATTTCGCCACGCTTGTCCGCCGATATTTTTATAAAATTTGACGCTCGTCTAATACCGGGGCGCGACAAGATTCCCGTTTCAAGATTCTGAGTTGAATAGGATAAGTACAATGCTCATTTCAACGTAGAAAACAATATAATTCTATTTATATCCAATATCAGAAACATTGATTTCATAATGAGCGTATATATATGAGTTTGAAACTGAAACAAATTCTTCTAAAACAGCGTGCATTAGCGATTTAATTCGCACTGATTGCAGCAATGAGCAAAACCATTCGCTCCTTTCTTGGTACGGTTAATGGTGTGTTTGACCATTTAACCAATAACATTTGGGATTTACGGGAGCATTGAATATCTAGAGATATCTAGTTGAACAAGATTCAGGATATATATATATTCGACATTTATATATATATTTAATATCCCAGAATATTAAATAAGGAAACTGTTATACCGCAGAAACTGGTACTATTTCCTGGGAAACTGGATCAAATTTCGAACGAAAGCACAGATCGGAATTCCAAAAAACAACAGTGACACTTTGTAACACAACTCGACAGAATGGGTAACAGTTATCTTGAAGCGAATTGTAAAAACTCAGTGGTCGTAGTGATAAATGGAAAATATCAAGAACATACAAAAAATACGCATGCCACAAGTTATTTCTTGGCGTCGCAGAGACGACTATATCGATACGCTGGACGTGACAAAATGAAATAAACTCTTTCTCTGAGTAAGATTTTGATATAGCAAATATACCTTAGCGGCTTAAACGGCATATGGATTGTACTTTGTCGTTTGTTCATCGAGTAAGGAACGAGTGGCTTCGTTAGCAGATGTTAACAGGCGGCCACTGGTCTTCTCTATTGTGCCACAATGACGAATAATTTACATGAATACTCTTCAAGCCTCGGGCGTCGTTTATGTCGATGACTCGTCGTCGTAAGTTACATTTTCCTTAAATGGACTTCCCAAAAGAAGGAGAAAAGAACTGAGTGGGCGAGGCTATTGACGACGTAATCTCGTCGCCGACTTTCTCAAACAAAAATACGGAGCGTTGATTGGCGAGACGAACGAAAAGAAAAAAGCCGACGGCGTCATTTTACAATTTGATGGCTGACGCGACTGTTGTGTACTTTTCGACCCTTCTATATGCGTGCCTGGGCGGTGTTTGCTGGCTATTTGTATAGGAATGGACGACTTCCATACTTCCCTCATGTCTTCATAAGTTTGTGGTGTCGACCGATGTATTAAGATTATCGGTAAGAGAATGATCAGATCAGGTTATATTATTCTGTATGCTTTATTATTTTGATAATGTGCCATACAGCCATAGGAACCGTGTTTCATATTACAGTTTTAAGACATCAACTAAGGAATGTACGGTAAGTGGCAGAGACTGGCAGAGACTATTGATTTATTCCATAAAATAGAGAGCACTGAAAAACCTTCATTTAGTACAGCAATACTTACCGTATTAATCATAGAAGAGGTACCGTAAAATCGAACAAGCCGTTTTGAAGAAGTGATTGCCGGATTGAATCAGATAAAACGTCCAGCCAAAAATATCTGACATTATTATATTCCATAAAAGTTCTGTAGTTGATAAGTTCAAACTAGATATATTATCTTACAGTCTTAAGTTATTTCAAGTAATTTTATTCCATAAGCTCAAGATTATATATGTATGACCAAATATTAAGATCTTAGTCAACCAGAATTGATTACTAAATAGCTTTCGTCTTATTTTAAGATAAACAACAGTCTATTTGTAATTGAATAAAATACGTATTGCGTATTTGTCGTATGAAATTATCGTATATGTGCCTACCATTTTCGGTATATTGATAATTAAGCACAAATTAATTAAATCTACTGAACCGATAGAGGATTATGTATAAGTATTACTCTAATATTAAAATATTTTAAACATTGACATCTTTTCTGATTTTGATTACTTCCTGTATTACCCTCCGAATTGGAAATGTATATAACAGACACACTTGTGTACGATAATCCTTGATCTTGAAAATTCAGAGTTATTGGTAATCAGAGTTGGCCACAAAAACCCCAAAAAAATACGATATCCAAATTGAACATGCAGTTAAGCTCTGGTACAACAAAAGCTTAATGAAAGCAAATAATAAATATGGACACAAACTTGTTAGAGCACAAGTAGTGGGGTACCGGTACTATTCGACTTTGGGTGAAGACTGTTCAACTGATTATTCAGTTAATTCTCCTTATTTTGTTACAGCTATACATAAATTTGTGTATGCATATTCTGACTCATGTTTTTCAACTATATCTATGTGAATTTTTTGGTATATGTACTGACAAAAGCTCTCTTTCTTAGAAGTTTTTGATATAATAAATGATATATCAATACTAATTGCGTATAAGATATTCAGCCAAGCCTTAAATCTCATCATTGTGATTCATAATGTATCATCTTGAATATCTATGCATCATCACACTGGTGTTGTGCACATCTAATGTAGTGTTTTCAAAATGGACATATCCACCTATCAATGTTAATGAGGGACCTAAGAGAAATCTTCCGGAAAATCTTGGTCAAGTGGATTCTAGCAGTTCCTCCGTGAGTACATATGGACTTACTGGGGCTGGAGTGACCTCGGGGAAATTTGACATGATTTCAAGTACAGGAATGATCAGGCAACTAATGGAGTTGGACAGAGAAACTCAAAACAACTACACTTTGACTCTAAGTGCTTACGATTCGTTGGGAAACAGTGTCGAAGATCCTTTGGAAATACATATTGTCGTTTTGGATATAAACGATAATGTTCCGCTATTTAAGGAGTCTTCTTTAATTGGATCAGTACCAGAAAGCAACGATGTGTCGTCTGGCAGCTTTATGACTGTACAAGCAACTGATGCTGATGAAAAAGTGAAAACATTCAATGCTGAGGTTAGATATTCGATTGTTGATGGGTCAGATATTCCTCCATCAAGTTCGTCACGGTTCAGTATTGATGCAGTTAGTGGTGCCGTCTCTGTAATTGGTGGTTTGGACTATGAAACAACCCAACAAGTGTTTTTTCAAGTTGTAGCAAGAGATGGGGGAGATTCGGAACAGCCATCGAACCTAAGAACCACTTCAACTGTTACTGTTAATGTGCAGGATTCAAATGACAATGCTCCTGTTTTCAGTCCAGATCCTTCTGATAGATCATTTTCAGAATTATCACAGGTAGATACTGCCTTATATAATATATATGCTGAAGATGCCGATCAGGGAGTAAACAAGAAAACTTCTTTTCGATTCATCAATGGTAACATTGGTGACACTTTCAAGATTGTATCGTTTCCAGCTGATGATGCAAAGAGCAGAGGTGAGCTGCAGCTAGCGAAGCCTTTGGATTTCGAAAGTGGATCAACTCAGTATGAACTCACCATTCAAGCATATAATGAAGATGCTGATAACAGTGGTGTTTATGTGGATACTGCTAAAATCATAGTAAAAGTTATTGATGAGAATGAGCCTCCAGTTTTCATTAACACTCCGTATGTGGCAAATGTGGCAGAAGAAGCGGGTCTGCCAAACGAAGAGGCTCAACCAGTCATACAAGTTACTGCTGAGGACTATGACTTCAATAGAAACCAAACTGTTTCTTATTCTGTTAATGATCCTCAAGGATGGTTCCAGATTAACAGTGAAGATGGGCAAGTTAGTCGTATTGGTGTAATTGATAGAGAAGCTTCAGTGGTTAAGAATGGTGTGTATACATTGATTGTGGTTGCAACTGACAACTATGACCACGGAACACCAAAAAGTAGAAATGGTGAAGTTGCTGTCCATATTAGCGATATAAACGATAATCCTCCTGAAATTACACTTTCTGCAGCTGATCAGAATGTAATAATATGTGAAGAACCTCAAAACAGTACTGTCCTCGAAATTCCAGCCCAGGATCCGGACTCTACTGTTAATGGACCACCATTTACATTTTTGTTTGATTCAACTGTGGATGATAGTCGTTGGGAATTTGCAACTGTTTCATCAACAACAAGTAAGATAGTGGCTCTTTTTACAGATTATAATCTTCAGGGAGCACAGGAAGTGGTTCAGCTTCCTTTTACCATTACCGACTCTGGTTCTCCATCACAAACTGGAAGCGCGACTGTGACTGTTACAATTTGCACATGTAACTCTGAAGGGAGACCATCGTGTGCTGGAGCAGCTGCTGCCGCATTCCCTGTCGCAATAATCATCGCTATTATTGCTATTCTTCTTCTAATAATTATTTTGATTTTTGCACTGGTTGCATACAAGCGCAGACAAGCAGCAATGGTTTTGAAGGAACCGTTTTTTGATGATGAAGATGATGTGAGGGAAAACGTTCAAGTATATCAGGAAGAAGGTGGGGAGGAAGATCAAGATGCATATGATCTAACTGCTCTTCGAGCGCCACTACTTGAAGACCCAAATCAGCCAGTCAGGATAGAAAAACCTCTGCAGCAAGCACCTAGACAACCTCGAGGTGTTCCGGATGATATCGGCGACTACATCGGAGATGCTAAAGATCAGGCAGATACTGATCCAAGTGCACCACCATTCGATTCATTGCTTGTATTTGACTATGAAGGTGCAGGTTCGGATGCTGGGTCTCTATCTTCTATCAACACTGCCACAACAGATGGATCGGCGGACTATGATTACCTCAATAATTGGGGTCCAAGGTTTAAGAAATTGGCAAACATGTACAATGATGGATCAGACTCTGAATAAGAAATAGTAATATTGTGTGTGGAAATGCAATGAGTGCAGTTGGTTAGAAGAGGAGTAACACTTAATGTCATTGTGGGACAATAATTATTTAACATCTCATGCATAATCCATACATCATTGGTTTGGTAATTCACCGAATCTGAATTAAATTGAATGATGAACATGGTTTTAGTGTGATATATATATATATACACACATACAGAAACATATTTTATTTTCATTTGCAAACGCCATGAATTTTATAGTAAACTTTTGTGCAGCATATTTGGGAATTCTAATCTTGTACTTTATGCTTTCTGCAATTGTAACCAGGTGCTGCGCAATTTGATAAACTGTTGTGTTTACATCAATTTCCTTTGTTAGCGATACCATGTATTTGTTACTTCATTGCTTCTGATGACATGCGGGTAGGGTCAGGTGTGTGTATTTCAGTTTCCAAGTGTGTAAACTCTGTGTGAAATTAAGTTTTTTTAAGCATTTTAGCTGTTTTTTTTATAAGCATTCTGGCTTTGTGTCTTGTAAATCTGTAAATGCTTTCTTCTATTGGCTTTTACGTTAGCTATCCATTTTATTTGTATGTCGAGAGACCAAATGAGTTAAGCGGGGGTATTTTTTAATGTACATTCATTCCTAGGTACTTTTTTAATATTATTACTCAACAAATGGTACGTACCATCAACTGTTTTATATAAGTGAGTTGCTTCAATCGTTTCGTATGATCAGACATTACATTCTGATCGGAGTTGTTGGATTTTGAACTGGTTTTTATTTATGTATTAATTCAAGCGGGATTTTCGTCAGCCCACTGCTATTATGCTTATTATTATTATTGGCAGTAGAAATAAAACAAATTAGTACATTTTGCCTAATGCAGTAGTTGTATTTTGTCCGGTCGGTGGGTCAGTAATCGGTATATCATTTTAAGCACGCCTCTACTAATATTTTGGAATGAAATGGTAATATCACCGGAAATTGAAATCACCGCTGTAATTTTACGATGCGCTGGACTATTTTGCTCATTTTTGACACTTGGCTCCATTTTAAATCAACACTGTTTTCGTGGGAGCTTGTGGCATTTTCTAGTCGAATAAAGCCTATTTGCGTTACTTAAGCCTTTCTTTGTTGGATTTTGTTCCTGATAACCACTGGTTTGCACGATGGAGCAAGAGGAACTGAAAAAACCAGGTGCTATTGCGTGAACAAGTCAACACTAATGCCTCCCATTAAAGTTCTCTAAATACATTTCAATTTTTGCTTGCAACCTAATTTATCACAGTTGTTTCTTAACTAAGAATATTAATTTGATCCGACTGAGAGCTCGCATCTGGACAGTCTGCGTTATCTGAACCAACTTAAATAAAATTGGAGAGAACTTTCAACCACGGCGTGGTGTCTTACATTTACACCCTGGTGTGAAATAACATGCGTTTAATAGTAGGCTGTTGTAGAAATTTTTTTGATTGACCAGGTTTGTAATTGTGTCCTGCTTGCAGGGCGATTCTATTTATATAAATGTAAAATTGGTAAAAGAAAGCAAAGCCACTGTTCAAATACTTTTTAAAATCAATTGACACTATCCGAGAGAACGAAAGAGAATTAGCATTAAAAAAGAAAAAATTGGCAAACATTACAAAAAAGGAGAATTCTTGTAATATAATCAGAGTAATAATGCAATATGTATGTGTTCTTTATGATGAATTACTGTTATTGATGAATATTGCTTATTGCAAAATTGTTTTATTTTATAAAAACCTCTTTTACATACATCGCTTTTGTCATCAGAACACTTTCATCTACTCACTTCCGTCTTCCACAGTCTGACAAAGCATGTGTTTCGTTTCAATTATCTGCTGTAGCATTTGGAACCAAATTTTTCTTATGTCATTGTTTCTGATACACTCGCTACAAGTCGTTCATTACTTTGAAAGATGACAATACCGGTCGGCCCTTATCTTACTTTCATCCCTTCAGCAACAAAGCGCAATGTAGATATTACTAATCGCAGAGGCGTCAAGCGCTATGCTGTCCTAGAACAGAGAAGTGGTTCACCAGCGACCAGTCGGTGCAGTTTCTTTGCCGACTCACAAAGCTCATTCTGCGTCATTTTTCCTTCGTGCGTAAACAATGGTTACTGAAGGTTACTAAAAATAAAATGTTTCGTTGCGCAGTGATATGTTTACCTACCGTTTTCAAATCGGGTGTTAGAAGGGTACTTGATTGTCCGGCGGTGCCTTTGCCCACGAATAATTTCATTTTCCATGTGCGATCGGGAGAGGCGTTTTATTAATTTCTCTGCCCACGAACAATTTCATTTTTCAGGTGCGACCGGGAGAGGCGTTTTATTAAATTTTGTCGCTTCCTCGATTTTCCTCTCCCCAGGGATAAATATATATGAGAATCCTATTATATTCTTCTGTTTAAAATTTACATATACGCCATTTCGTCGCTCTGTTCTCTCGCATCATCGCCAAAGTAACGATACGTCGGTATAATAAATTGATAGGACATAACAAGCAATTCATGAAACGAAAACCGAATAAAACTTATAAACAACAATTGTAGAATAAAATATTATTTTCAATATTAGGTAGAGAGACTTATTTCAAAACTATGCATAAATATATATTTAAAAACCTAATCGCCTCCGCAAAATAATTATGAATCTAATTGTTACTTTGTTTAAAATTGATTGCTTGTCCTAGAACAGTGGTTCTCAACCGGGGGCCGTTCACCTCAGTTTTATTACCTCAGTTACAAGGTGTATTCACTTTCTTGTGGGTGTGAATTGTTTAATCATAATGGAATTTTGAACCAACTAACCAGACTACCTAGTTTGTTAGTAGGCCGTCTATCCTGCATCCTGCAGACGGGCAGTTTCGCTAGCATGCGAGATAGCTGTCAATATCATATTATAACTGCAGAAGCCTATATGCGAATTCCCAATCCCCAAAATACGAAAATGGAACGACAGTTACTTTGGCTTTATTGAGGACATGGCTACCGATGTATGCTAACAAGTTTGCTTTGAAATCAAGCAAAGAAGACTTTTCGAGTTTCTGGTTATCCCTTCGCCATTCTCACCTACTACTTGTAAGAATGCTTCTTCATTGCTAGTTCAATTTGCCACAACCTATCTGTGCGATTCTATTTTTTCTAATCTTGTTACCAACAAAGCAAAATCTAGGAACCGCACTGATGTTGACAATGACAATCGTCTGGCTAAACCAAAGACGTTGCCCAATATAAGGAACCTAGTTAGACAGTCCCAAGCGCACGATTCCCAATGATTGTTTACTAAAAAGCTTTGACTTTTCTGTCCGTGGTTTGTTTTTGCATTCTATAAAAGGTCGTAAATACATATTACAATCTAACACGTCAATTTTTTTAGAATGATGGACAAGGGGGGCCACGAGTGCAATAAGCCTCCGGAAGGGGGCCACGGTCATGAAAGGTTGAGAACCACTCTTTTAGAAGATCCCATCGCTACCCTCTTTCCAGTGGTTCGCAAACTTTCACGATCTGTGTCTCTCAACATTTGTGGCCCCATGCTCTTCTATAAAAGGTCCCGTTTTGTAAAGCCCTGCTTTGCTTTGGGTAATATTCTAACGTAGGACAATTTAAGCAGGTGCTGTGCTTGTTCATATGCCACAGTTATCTAATTTTAATAGGGCTTAGTAATTTTCCTAAACCCCCTAGAGGGGATGAACATCCTCCCTAAAATTTGAATATAATATAAATATTGAATATAAAACTTGAATATAATGGCATCTGGATATCCACAACGTGGCGTATATACTGATGCAGATGGTCAGTCAGATACACATTTGTATAAGTCAGAAATAGTTTTTATCTTAAATAGCAGGATAGCTACCACCCACTAAATTTGGAAACACCTCCTAAAATGAAAAGCTGGGGAGCATACTGCAATAGGACGGTATGTCATTAGATCCCACCATAACCCCGAAAAAATAAGTGGTCGTTGTTCTCATCTATAGACGATAGCTAGCTTGTTTAATCAGGGCACCCCGCAAGCCAATACATACGAAGGCGGTCTTAACCTGGATATGTAAACGCAACGACCCACATACAGAGTGCTGAGCGTTATCCAGCGTAACTGCCATTAGAAGATAACCTAAAATGAGGCAATCAGTTTCAGTTGGCCGGCTTGCCATGAGATCTCAACCTAACATAAAACTCACTAAAGCAAGCAGTCGATGTTCTCGCCCGTAAAATATAGCTGGCTTCGTTCACTAGACTGCACGAAAGTCTCTAAAATTCTAGACGTATTCCTGCTTGTAATTACTAATGGTAGTGGCATCTCATTTGGTGAACAACATGCCTGGCAGCAATTTGCGTTCAACCGATAATAAACCAGCACATGCCTAAATTTGAACATTTAGCAGTTTTTGTGACGATACTATTCAAACTGCACCCACGAAGCCCAGCCTATCGAATGTGATGGATTTTTATTTTGTATGCGCAATCCTGTTAGACATTTGTAAGCTGATAACTTCGTGAAGTTGCAATTATTTCCCTCACATATTACAGAGAACCTCTGTGGGACCATATTGTCAAAATTTTTCAATATAGTTTTTTAACACAATTAGTCAACACAAAATACGACGAATCCTATCAGTATTTACGTTAAAAAGTTAATCAGGAAATTGTCGCCAATGCTTGGTGACCACCCAGATTTATTGGCCGGTTATAGTGCCAATCCTAAAGTAGTATGGCTCTGTGCCTCAGCAATGAGCATATTGCAAAGATTTGCTCATTTTGGTATTGTTCCCTGCATTTTTTACGTCGTCCGGCTAAATGGTTCGTTGCATATTAAGAAAACGCATTGCTCGCTGCCAAAATCCCTTGCTTCAGCCGAGTCGGGTGCGAAATTGGCCGTATTGAGGTCTTTAATTCTTCAATACATATTTGGTTTTGGGTTTCGAAGTATGGTACGCTGGAAGCATACAACTATGAGCATATGCTTATTGGGAATGCATATCTATTAGACAGAAAACGTAGCTACAGTACAGAATATGAACCAGTCGCCCAGTGGGGTGCGGTTATTTATGTATTTATTAGGATAATGAGGATAAGGATAAGGATTTACATATTTATCCCGGGGGAAAGGAAAGCCGATAAGATGACTTATCCATATGGCGAACCACGGCCTCTCGTCCGGTTACGGTACCATTCCAAGTCGGGTATGGGATTAGTTATATTCTTTGTTTTCGGATGCATGGACTTGGTGGTGGAGGAAGCCGTAACCGACCAGCGGTTACGTGAATCACCCAATGGCGGCGAGGAGTCCAGCAATCCTCTTGCACATAACCATCCCTGCATGGGATTCGAACCTGCGGACCCATGCAGAGTAATTAGAGGTGCGGTGGCGAGCGTATTCCTAACGCTTAGCCCGTTGAGCCACATCGCCGCGCATGGGATTTACATATTTATCCAATGGGAGAGGAAAGCCGAGAAGAATGCCTAAACATATGGCAAACCACGGCCTCTCTCAATCATAGCTCTGTGCTCCATATGAATCACATGGCTCTGCGAGCTATTCGTTTACTTATTAAAAATACTGATTTTAACTATTTCTCTGGGATATCTTGCCATTGAAAACAAAAGCCAGAAATTGGAAGAATAGCAGAGAATGAAATGTGTGTATTATGTAATGGAGAACCTGAGTTTGTTTCACATATTTTCATGTATTGTAACTTTACAAAAAATATTTATGAAGATTTAGTTTTAGATATATTAAAATTGATTAGAATACATTTTGTTATCAATATGATTCTTGCATATTATTTAATTTCAACGATCCTTTATATAGTCATATAGATACTGTTGATTTGGATGCAATTATACTTTTGTAATCAATAGTGAGATATAAAATTTTGACCATGAGAAATTCTATTATATTCGAAAATAAAACACCCCATTTTGCCTTTCTCAAAAAGCAGATAAAAATGGCCATAATATGTAGAAAAATATAGAGAATTATAGAATAAAAAACCCATTTGAGAGGGAATTGAAAAATTTATGTAAAGCGTTATTTCAAAAAGAAAATTATATGTTTATGATATGTATTTTATATTTACTAATTTCATTTTTATTGTTTTATATCAATGCATTTATTAAAATAACCTAATTATGGTATGGATTACTACTGGAATTGAACAAAATAAATACTGAATTATGGATGCAAAATGGAATATGAACTTATTTATATTATATATAATTTTTTATATTAACCGTAATTAAAATCACCCATTGAGTGAACGAATGAGCATACTGTAATGCTTATTGGGAATACATACCATCTATTAGGCAGAAAACTTAACTACAGAACAGAATATGAACCAGCCAAGTGGTGACCTGGGATATTGTATTCATTGATATAGATAGAGATAGTTTATTTTGAAAAGTCCACAATCTGACAATACAAACAAATAAAAAATGGAGAGTTCTGGAGAGCGAGCAAAACCTTTAAAAAAGTTTAAAACACGATGAGTATCATGTGCCCGCCGTGTTATAGCAAGTAGTAATGTGTAATGAATTTAATTCACTGTGGTAAATGAATTGCTATCTTTTTATTTGTTATGAGCACACTTGCTGGAACTCCATAATCTATTATTTTATTTGTTAGTAACACCTTTTAACAAAATATCAAATTGTTTATCATACTTGCATCCATATTTCGCCCTAAATTCTATGACACTTTCTCTGTATCCAAATAAATATGTACATGACCACATTATTTATTTTTTATTAATACTTCATTTAAAAGTATCTTAATGTTTATTATACTTGCTATTCTGGTATTTAATCAGTTTTTTGCCTTGAATTTTATTCTATGATACCTGCTCTGTATCCAAATATCTATAACCGTATATGAGCACTTTATTTATTTTTAAGTACCGGTAATACTTATTTAAAAATAACCTATTGTTTATCATTGCTATTTCAGTATATTATCAATATTTCGCCTTAAAATTCATTCTATGATACGTGCTCTGTAGCCGAATATAGAGGGGTACATGAGCACTTTATTTCATATATATATCTGCTGGAGAAGGGTCAAATCCTGATCATGTATTATTGTTTGTCACTATCCTCCAAATCACTTGCCAGTCATAATCAAGTATTTTGATGTGTTCAAATTATAGTGTATAAAGAAATATACTCATGATTTTATTACTATTATCAAATGTTTATAATTAAAGTGCTATAATAATAGAATTTTCCTCATCTTTGCTCATAAAAAACCATGTCCTATCACATTCATTTTTAGTAGACAAATTTTCCAAATAATAGGTATCCTTGCTAACCCATTTTTATGCAGTTGATATGCAATACATGTCAACTTATCAGCTGGATAAATGATGATCTTAGGACAAAACATGATTATTTAGTACTTTCCAAATCAAAAATTCTTGTGAATAATGTATATAGTGAATACGGTATATGGGAGCTATTGAAGAATTTAACACCGAACCTGTTAAATGACCCCAAATGTTGTAACGTTGTCTCCCAGTCAAACACCTGAGCATCTGTTTTTTTTTATTATAATTTATATATGTTCATGGTTTGACGAACGAAATAAACTCTCTCTCTCTATTAGTTTAAAATACTGTCTTCTGGACTTGGCTAATTTTATACATATCAAAACTTGTAAATATTTGCATATCAAAACTTGTCATTTATTTCGTTCCATCCATGTATTTTCAACTGTTTTCCAATAAAACGTACTTATGCCTTACTGTTACTGCTGTTATTTGCAGCTTATTATTGTTAGCAAACTATTTTGAGGTGGGGCGCAAGACTTTACAAATTCTAAAAAGGGGGTGCGGCTTGAAAAGTTTGGGAATGTTTGTATGTAGTAGACCCTAACCTGGTACACATGGTTCCGGTGTCTACCAACTGGGTTTACATACTTCAATTTGAATTACAGTGGTAAAACAGAAAAAAGCTGAATGTCGGTCTTATTCCATCTGTAAATTTACCAAAATCTCCACAAAGAATGAACAATGTGCCAGACCATGTGTATTATCGATGAAATGAAAAGTGACATATAAAAAATACAGAAGCTGTAGAAAATATTTTGCATTCCAAAAAAATTAGTTCACATATTAAATATTTTACATTACAAAAAAATGGTGCTCCAGAAGTATGTGTACCAATATGAAGGTAACTAATTTTGTTCGCCTATTTTATATCAAGTTGTGTAAATGGACTAAATTCTATCGGTAGGGGATATTCACTTGTGTAACACAGACAATTCCCGAACTTTTAATAGAACAAAAATAAGGAGAATTGTAACCTAACCTGGTACACATACTACAAGAGTACCGAAAAAACAGCCCACATAGTAAAAGCAGTTATGGAAATACTTTACATTACAGAAAAATTAATTCACATAGTAAATAGCAGACGCAAGATGTACTTTGCATTGCAGAAAAAATAGCTCACATAGTTAATAGCAGTCCTGAAATATTTCTCACTATTGATAACAAAAGTATAATTGCATCGAAATCAACAGTATCAGACTATATAAAGGATCGTTAAAATAAAATGATATGCAAGAATCATATTGATAACAGAATGTATTCTAATCAATTTTAATATATCTAAAACAAATTCTTCATAAATATTTTTTGTAATTTACAATACATGAAAATATGTGAAACAAACTCAGGTTCTTCATTACATAATACACACATTTCATTCCCTGATTTTCTTCCAATTTCTGGCTTTTGTTTTCAAAGGCAAGATATCCCAGAGTAATTTATAGTTAAAATCAGTATTTTTATTAAGTAAACGAATAGCTCGCAGAGCCATGTGATTCATATGGAGGACAGAGCTATGATTGTGAGAGGCCGTGGTATATTTAGGCATTCTTCTCGGCTTTCCTCTCCCATGGATAAATATGTAAATCCCATGTTATATCAATGAATAAATACATAAATAACCGCACCCCTCTCGGCGACTGGTTCATATTCTGTTCTGTAGACGTTTTCTGCCTAATAGATATGCATTCCCAATAAGCATATGCTCAGAGTTGTACGCTTTCAGCGTACCATACTTCGAAACCCAAAACCAAATATGTATTGAAGAATTACAGACCTCAATACGGCCAATTTCGCACCCGACTCGGCTGAAGAATGCGTTTTCTTAATATGCAACGAACCATTTAACTGGACGACGTAAAAATGCAGGGAACAATACCAAAATGAGCAAATCTTTGCAAGTTTCCACTCATTGTATATATGCTCATTGGCCTCAGGTAACTTATCTTATTAAGTTAGTACTATATTGTCGATGGCGAGATATTACGAAGATGTTAATTGTATACAGTCGACGTCAGGTAGGCCATCCATGTCGACCAATGCTACTCGATTTCTCAAAGGGCATGGTTTCAGCGCAACCTCATGCGTAATTTACAACAATTCTTCGAAATGGGGTATTTGCCAAACCAATTGCTTAAGGTATTGTACACTCGCAAGCTATTGCGCAGACTGACACAAAAACCTCTTTCAATACATGAATATTTATTTTACATCGGAATGAATAAACATACTCTCAATAAATATCCAAATCCCAAACATGCTTTTTGATCGCTATATAATCTCTGAGTAAATATATTCTATTTTGTCAAAAAATAAATTACAACATATGATAATAACATGTACAACTACACATGAAGATTATGATAATATATAATAAATTTAGAAACAAAACATTTTCTGATTACAATATTTCCGAATACATAGATTTCTTTTTCCGTTAAAAATAATGTGTTCTGAAAAAAAAAAAACATAATATATTTTTGTCAAAAGCACAGAGTTGGAGTTAAATAATCAGATTTCCAGGAAGTGGGGATTATAGACTTCAAATGGTGATAGAAGAAATCAATATTTATACAAAAGCTCGAAAATTATGACATTGTTCGTGCCAGTCTATTAAAAAGGGTATTGGAACATTATTTTCGTCGAAGTCAAATATTTCATAACCCAGAGTCGGAGCAATAATACTTTCCAACCCTAAATCAATGCTGAATTTTTTCTCGATTTAACAGTCCTGTTTTGAACTGGACTAGCGAAATAACTCTAACCATCCCCTTACCTTACACACAACATTGGCGTGCTGGATAACCAGCACAATGTGCGGCATTGCCGTTGTAGTTTCCGGCACAGTAGTTCGAAAAATGACGGCAATTCCCGTTGGCAGCAGTACACAATCCATCGGCATCACTCTGTCGTTCTGTCATTTCTCGTTGGTAATCTAATTTCAAACGATTTATGAGTTTGTTTTAATGTTGATTTGAGTATAATAAAGAATGTGTGTACCGTATATGTGAAAACTTGACAGGCCTCTGGTATAGTGATTTTGATTTTATATCAAGATCAATTAATCATATTTGTAGCAACCGAGTCATCTTTATGATCCCAATTCTGATATGCTTAGCGATTGTATAATCACATAGTGCATGTTTATTTCACCCATTTAAACCTAATTAAACTACGTTATGTATGGTTCCATTAAAATTTTGTTTTTAATTCAGCTCACCTACGCCGTCATATGATTGGCAACATCTTGCACCAACGGTATTGCAAGCAGCGTTTGGATTACCCGGAGCGAAGTACCCATTTATACAATCAGTAATCTCTTGCCACATGAAGCAATCTCCGAGGCCGTTCAATTTACAGTTAGATTGTCCTGTAAGTACGCATTCATAAAAATTTGAATGAGATAATAAACACTATCAAAGAATACAGTTTGCATACATAATGAGACATTTATAGTAATAAAAAGATTTCAAAAATGCCATGGGGATTGCAATTTAAGTTTTTATACCTATATACAATATCTATGAATAAATCATTATTTGTTCCAACACTTACGCACACAGGATGTAGTCTTGTCGTTAATTCTATTATGTTGCTCAATCAAACAGTTGAAAACGTTAAATGTTTATCTCTTACCAATATCAAGTTTATTATACATTGAGGACTTGAATAAGTTTTACTAATAATCAGCATCATTAAATTAAATATTCTTAGCCTATTTTGATTTTATAGGAAATGCTCCTATTTACCCATTGTCGATGGCGCCATCATCAGAGCCGCTACCGAGACTGCCAAAACTTGGATCAAAGTTGTCGCCATCTTTTCTGGTTGATGTCTTTTGCAAGAGATGATATTGCTCACTTGTGGTAATTAATGGCTGGGTAAGCTTCATTTATAGGGTTTCATGAAATATTGATTCTTGGTTTTTCTGATTTAAAAAAAAAGCATATTGCCTTTTATTCTCGTGCAAAATACAGCTGGACTGAACGGCTGGTGAGATGTTCAGATGGAGCCTCCGTATTTGCTGGATTAAATAATGTCCATCTAGAAATTTTTTAAATTGAATGTTATTGAACGGTATATCTGTGCAACTTGATAAAAAAGATTTTTAAACTTTAATTGATCCTAATTTACGTTATGTTTCGCTGAATGTCACATATATATACATATATAAGACATGTTATGGGATGCCGTGTGAACATTTGGATGTATTTGAAGAGACACGAAGCATATATTTTATCCACTAAGGTATTTTTTTCATCCCGCTACGACAACGGCAACAATTCAAGCTATCAAATATACTAAATTGATTTTTTTTAGTGATATATAGAACTCTGTGTTTAATTGCATTTAAAGCGGATTAGTCCTGTTCTGGATATTCGTGAGTTGTGATGATAACCAGTAAAACACATATTACACAAAATGAAGTAAAAATGCATTTCGGGATGAAAGGAGATGCCATAAACCAGTACTGGTTATCGAGCAGCGACACCTATGAAAAGTCTTTCATCAAATCATACTAGAGTAAAATGTCGACTGTGGCATATGAATATGTTCAAAAGACCAGATAAAAAAGATATTTCCAGTATCACTAGGAGCAAACGCCTCGGAGCCGACTGGCAGATGACCGTGGCAACAACAGCACAGATAATACCAACAGCTATCAAGGGGTAGAATGCCATAAGCTAGTTGGTTTGTCTATGACACTGCGTTCGTGTTGTAGAGTTAGACATTACCAAACAAAGCAACTGCGGCTGAACAACGTAACTGATTTGTAACATGATACCGGCACCGGCAATGTGTTGAGACATGGTTATTGGATGTCGGAGACAAATTTGTGCAGGAAGAAATAATGAAAGCGGAGAAAAAAATGAATGCTAAAAATTTATCTACAGATCTAGGTAATGGATGGAAAGGTGAAATCGCATAATCGCAGAAATATATAGTCCCAATGGTACAATATTACAATTAGTCAATTCATGCAGAATATAAAAGTCATTAAATCACAGAAATATGAATTAATGAAAAATGAGTAGTGGTATAAAATAGGTTAGTATACCACAGCATTGTTATGCTAAAATGACAACAAATAAAGATATTTAGCATGCGCTGGTTGCACGTACTGATTAACATAATCCCGATTCAACATAATATGATTGTGAAATCAAAACAATTGATCAGATTTTCTGACATTTGATTTCTTGAAAAAGCATAGCTGGACCTCCACCGCTATATCTGTCGGGTTATATGTAAATTATTACAGTGACTCCGTACATTATGAAAGGTATATCAAGCATTCAATGAAAAATACGCCTAATACCCATAACCATTCACTTTACTCGAACAAGGTCATATAATCTTAAGATTTATTATATTTCATGGACATTTTCTGTTTGACAGTCGAGGCAAGAAAATCTTTTTCTGTGTTGTGTAAATAAACTATGAATTGATGTAGGTAATAACGATCGTAATTATGTACCATGATTCTAAACAATCTTAAGCAAAGCATATTTTTTCCACTGTTTACACTAAACAAAGTTTGCGCTCTATTAACTGAAAAGTGACAGAATTGCTGTATTATAATATTAATATGGTTTTCGCGATTATAAGAAATGAAGAAGCATTTCATTGTGTAAGCAAAGGGGATCTGGGGTAATATTTAATTCACAATTGCTTGAAACTTTTCTACATTTTCAGAAGAAAATCTATGCGTTTTTGCTTTGCAGCAAAACATTAGTTTAAAACTTAGTGGCTCTTATGTTTTTATCGCCACGGGATGGCGAAGATTTCTGTATAATACCATAATATGCTAACAATGTTGTCAAAATATCTTCGCAACATCTTCCCAGAAAAGTGGGGAGAATTTTGTTAAATCGTCCACAATTGAAATGATGACAATAGGCTGATTCATCTGTGATTGTTGAAAAAAAAAATAGGAAATACGGTACGTCTTTCCATTCCATCTGCTGCGAGGTGTAAAATAAAAAATCTCTCAATAAGGTTTAATCCACATATGTTTAAGTTTATGAAGGGAAACGATATGGCTGATGAATATTTTAGTTATTGTCCGGTTCTCGTTATTGGTTATAGAGGCAATCAGTTCAAATCCTATTTGAACAAAAGTTTGAACCTTTGCCAGAATTACCGAAGTAAGACCATGAACTAATAAATGTCCTCTTGCGCGTTGCCGACTCTGGGTCGGTTTCTTAATTACGTCCTATGTGTATGTATCGATGTATTATTACCAATGTTTTGTGTGGCTTACCATTTTATTGTATTTCAATCCTTGAAGTTATATATATATCTACCCTAGCCTATGTACATATTTTCAAATTCAATTTTGTTTCCACACTATAAATATCGATCCATCGTGGAAGATTTGCTGGTAAGACTCAAAGATATCAAGCACAAATCAGAGTACTTTGAGTTCATAATTATCTGCTCTAGTTCGGGGCTGCCCAGATACTACGGTGTTTTAATAAAAAATAATCCTTTGAATAGCTAGATGTGGTGATTTATGTCTTAAAATCTAGCAACGTCTAATACAGCCACGACATTTGACCCTGCTGACCTATACTGTTCGTCCTTTAATAGCATGGTGTTTTGATTTGAAAGTCATTCTTTGGTTTGTGCTGTTTTAAGACTCTCAGTTGACGTTTGAGCTAATAAAAGCCTAGTATACAAGTTTCTTTCTTTCTGTATTAGGTTCATCACACTAGCTTTTGATAAGTCAATAGACATTGGTTCCACAGCTATACAAAATCATTATAAATTGTAAGAATCCTCGCTAATGTAGAAGCTAAATGAAATATATATATTGTAATAATAATATAATGTATTTAGGTAGAATACGAATGTTTGCAATAGTCCGAATATGGAGTTCAATTCACATTAAAAATAGGTTCTTCAATATAATACTTCCTTTTGTTGGCACGATGAATTGCAACACTTTGTCATTTGGAAATATTGATAATTTCTCTTTGGAATACTTTGGATTGAGGTATATATATATATATGGTGCTAGTACATATAAGATATCTTATCTCTAAATTATCAATTTTAGTTCACTGCTGGTTGGAATTAGGGATGTACGTAATAGCCTTCTATAGCGACGACGACAATCTTCAAATTTCAGAGCAATTGATCCAATAGTTATAGAGAAGAGCGATATTTCACTGCAACAAGAAAAAGAATGCTATCAACAAAAACATAATAACTAAACGATTTATATATAGGTCCACTTATGTCTAAAGAGCAATATTTTAAATGCGAAAAAAGCTTTGTTCGCTCAGAACGTAAAACCTAAAACTCACGAAAGCAAAGACATTTCTTGAAATAAGAGCTATTATCGTCTTTCACACACATAATTTGTTACAACGCAGAAATTGATGTGATGGCTGACTTACTGATTTCTACATGTGTGAATATTGGAAAATTGCATCTGAAATTGCCAATTAAATTTGCAAATGATTGCATACGCATTCGCGATAGTTTCACACCACATCAGGACAGCAATAATACTACACAAACATATGGCATCAAAAAACGAACGTTAACATCGCCGTGATATGCCGATTGCTGACATCGAGCGGATGGCAATCATCAGGTAGAAGAACCCCTACAGTGGATCTCAAACTTTTTTGTACCATCGCCCCCCTACAGTAATTTATACAACTACATCGCCCCTCGGCACTACAAAAAATGTAAAGTCATAAACGAATATATCACAGACCAAATAAACAAGAAGACAAATCATAGTTTATAGTGTTTTTAATAAGATGGATGAGCTTGGTGGTCTTTAGCGAATTTTTTAATATTTGGTGACATTTTCGCCTGGCATAATCTCAAACCACCCCATTTAACGATGGAAGGCGATTTCATTGTTTTGATAGCAATAGTGTCACGGCTGAAAACCCTTTCTCCAACATAAAAGAGGTCGGAAATGAAAGAATCCAGAGTTCTACATCCTCAAAAATCGCCGGGTAGGCTACTTGCCTGATGACCTGCAACCAAAATACATCATAACGATCTTCGGTAAAATTCATCTTCGATTCCTCATGATGTACCACGACCTCCAGTCCAGTTACCAGTTCATAGAATTATTCAGCCATTTATTTGTTTCAGATTCATGGACTTGATAGTGGGGTAAGCCGTAATCGACCATCGGATACGCCAGGGGTCGGCAACCTTTTGTCGCTCGCGGGCCAAAATTAAGAGTTGCAAGTCTTGGCGGGCCGCAAATATTTTTTTGAAAGAAACGGAACAGCGCGCGAAGACTGCGAGAATTCGTGAACTCAACACAGTCGTCTTATTAGAAGAAAAAAATTACAAATGGCATTTAATGTGACCCTGTCGTGTTGCTGCATCACGCTTGACAGCTTTTCGACGGCATACTGAATGAAGCCAAAATTGGAACATTTTCTAAATGGGCATCACCAATCCTAGCTCTCTTCTTGTTCATTGTAATGTTAATTTTCGAAAATAATTGTTGCACACACGTGTACTTCCAGTCATCGAAGTGGATTTTTTCGCATGGATTGTCAAATTTTGATAGAGAGTTTCCTTAGGAAGATACATTTTTATAAAAATCGAGCAGTGATGCATACTTCTCGAGCGTAGATTAGAAAATTAGTATAGGTTGCCGACCTCTGAAATTTCAAATTGCCAGGTTATCTGGACGGAGGCCGGAAAACGCGAGTTTTCATGTAAATTGATGCTCTAAAAAGCGTTCCAAGCCACGAAAAGGTACAGTGTATGACACAGAAGAATGTTTTTAGAAATTTAGACTGAATATGTCAGGATTCGATAGGAAAAAGTGCTACAAACGGAAATGCGAACTGAATAAATCGCATTATTCGGTCACAATCACGTCTCTTCTACGTTAGACCACAAGCGGCGTTTCGTGAGTACCGGTACGGCATCAGTAAGACAGATTGACGTTAGGAGCAGCGTAGCGCGCAGCGGTGTCTTCTGAAAATGAGTAAAAAACAGGGGGAAGCGATGACCAAGGACAGGCACCTCCTCCCGTAGTGAAAGATGCTCTTTCAACATTCACATACGATTCGATGTCCAAAGAAGTGAATCGCACTTCAACAAACGAATGCGAACCAAAGTTGAAAAAGATGAAATTTCACTTGGATATCGGTGATTATATGCGTGGATCAAATGTCGATGATCAAATGAAGTACGACTATTTGACCAACCATTGGGTCCCAAGCAAAGATTTCGTCTTTCCAAAGCATGTCCGAACGGTCGGTGGAAAGACTTTTCATCTGTCTTTTCAGCGAGCGTGGCTGGAGAAATTCAAATGGCTGGCATACAGCCCGGACAAAGATGGCGCTTTTTGCAAATCGTGCTTGATCTTTGCTCCTGATGTAGGCGGAGGGTCAAAATTGTTGAAGCTTGTTAACGAGCCTATGCAAAACTTGAAAAGTGCACTTGAGGACTTATCGAAGCACGCCAGTAGAACTTACCATATCACAGCACAATTACATGCCGAAAATTTTTGTAATACTCACACTACCGGAAATGTCGTCGAACAAATGAACTCTGCAAGAGCTCAGCAAGCGGATGGAAACAGACGGGCACTCGCATCAATAATTAACGTTGTCAAATTCTGTGGACGTCAAAATATAGCTTTAAGAGGTCACATAGACCATGGAGTTTTGTCGAATCCGACAAATTTTGAAACCGAAATGAACGAAGGAAATTTCCGTGCGCTATTGCGATTTAGAATTTCTTCCGGCGATCAAGATTTGTTGAATTATGTTCAGAATGCCCCTCTAAATGCCTTGTACACAAGCCCACAGATTCAAAATAAGATCATCACACTGTGCGGCGAAATGATCCGAGAGACCCTCGTTAAGAAGATCAATAAAAGCAAGTATTTCGCCGTGCTTGCTGATGAAACGAGTGATATCGGGCGTATTGAGCAATTTTCCATCTGTGCGAGATATGTTCAGAATGAGCACGGTATCTGCACCCTCCGAGAGGGTTTTCTCGGATTCGTCGAAGCCGTCGATTTGTCCGGCCAAGCTCTAGCAGAATTGCTGATGTCGACGCTTACGAGCTGGGGCTTGGAGCTGCGTAACATCGTAGGCCAGGGATATGACGGCGTCGCCAACATGTCAGGCTGTTTTCGGGGAGTACAGGCCGTTGACCAAGCCTACCCAAAAGCGTGTTACACTCACTGCTGCTCGCACTCGTTGAACCTGGTGCTATCTCACGCGTGTGGAGGCGAAGGGTTGAAACGAACAGTGCGGAGTATAAGAGACGTCGTTAATTTTTTCTCTAATAGTCCCAAACGCACAGGAATTCTTAAGAATGCTATTATAGCACTCCTTCCACAAAGTCGACACACACGTTCGATAACATTTTGCGAAACCAGATGGGTGGAAAGACATGAGTCAATTACAGTATTCTGCGAATTATATTCTGCCGTTGTTTACTCTTTGGGCCAGATAGAAGAATGCAGAGACAGAGATGCCGCTGATAAAGCAGATGAATTTAAATACAGGATAATGAACGCAGATTTCATCTGCCATTTACGTATACTGGACAGTATACTTGGCATTACATATCGACTGTCAGTTATCCTGCAGTCAAAAGATCTCGACATCATAGGCTGCTGTCAAATGCTTAACGACGTTAAGGCAGTTTTACAACACATGTTGGATAACGCACAGAAGAAATTTTCAACGAAATCAGCGTAATGACCAGTGATCACCAAATTCCGCTTGTTGTGAGATCTCTGAATTCGACTAGCGTGGATTTGGAGAGTCAGATGCGCGAAGATGTGTTCAAACCTTTCTTGAGCAAGACAATCTCCGAACTTGAAGATCGTTTCGGATCTACTTTTCGGAAAGCAACACAGTGTTTTGGCCTTATTCCGTATCGCATGATGATGCAGCCATGCAATATTCTACAAGATTCAAATTTCTTCAAAATATATTCAGAAGAGTTGGAGTCGTGGGCGATGGTGAAATCCGAAATAAGGCTCTGGAAGAGCAAGTGGACACAGCCGATCTTCCAAAAAACGCTTTGGATGCGCTAAACCATGCTTCTGTCGAAGCATATCCCAACGTTCGAAAATTACTGCAAATTATTTCCACACTTCCGGTCACAACTGCATCTGCCGAAAGATCGTTTTCACAGCTACGTGGTTTGAAATCATATTTGCGGAACACCACTATGGAAACCCGGCTGAATGGTTTAGCCCTGCTTCTGATGCATCGGGAAATTGAAGTTCCAACAGAAAAAGTTATTCTGGCGTTTATGCGCAGGAAAGCTCGGCGTAAAATCGCGAATTATTTTTGGCTCACATTGTATCATTTCTTTCCTGCTATTCTTTTCGCACTGTACTACCATGTTATATAATGCAAATAAAGCCAAATTTAGCTTCGATGTTTATTAGCTGGTTCATAGCAGCTCGGCTACGGAGCCATTAAGCTTTCTGCGCTTATTGTTCATGTTGCAAGTCACTTTTTTCACATTCCAAAAGGAGGGGGGGGGTCCGACCCCCCCTGGCTACGCCCCCTGATTGCCGGTACCGGGAACCTCAAAAAACTTCCGAGCTTTGAGTAGCGAGAATTTACGCAATCGGTCGTCACGCTTGGCGGAATAAACTCCGTGTTCTCATGATTAAAAAGTGATACAGCGAAATTTAGGATGAAATATTAGATCTCATAGGATTCATTAAAAATTTAGGACTAAATAAAAGTAATAGCCTTCTGCCAAAAAATCAATCTTTAAACACTGAAAATTTCAAAGCAATTGGTCCAGTATCCGAAGAGAAAGGCGATTTCATCATGACGAAGGAGAAAAATAATAAGAACAACAACATAATATTGAAACGATCGTTATGTACACTGACGTGTCCAATAATGGAGAATATACTTAGATCGGATGCAGCCTAAGTATAGGTCGACAGACTCGAATCACTTCACTCCAACATCCTAATATTTATTATGACATAACAAGTACAGTTTCAAATTGCTTGAAGTACAAATCTGAAGTTCAAAACGTCATGGCACCAGTACCCGATGTTCACAATACTCGTGTTTAGTGAGTTCTGGTTCTGGCATAGTAAAAATTATATATTATGATGCTTACATTCTTTGTTGCTTTGATTAATTAGTATATATAGCTATATATCGATATTCTTTCATAAAATTAAGTCTTTATTACGGTAGGAACTGTTCAGTTAATTTAAATTATTATACTTTACTTTATTTTTCGAGGTTAAAGAGAGTGGGTAAAAGAGAATTTTTTGAAGTTTTAAATTGACCTTATTCTGGAACAAGCCTTCACACATTTCAAAAACGATTTAAAATAATAGTTCAAAATTGGGTGTCTCAAATGTCGTATCCCACTTGTTCCAAGTTGTTCACTTGTCCCGCTTGTCACACGTGTCCCACGACATTTTCGAAACACCGTTCAAATTGATTGTCAAGACCCTCGATGTTTGATACCACTATTCGGCCTTTATTCGAATCCCATAAGTGATGTGGCAATGTACAAGAGGATTTCTGAACTCCTTGCCGTCGCGGTGTGGTTTCGTAATGGATTATCTGTTGCTTCTTTCTCCGTCAACCACGTTTGTGGACGCATTGCACTACAGTTTGAGTTGGCGTGTTTGGGCAAGTCATCGATATTTATGGTGTTTCGGAGAGGACAATGAATTATTGCAAATTAGAGGCAAAAGGAAACTTATTACATCCAATTTTTCTTGTTTCAGTATTAATCTATTTAATACAATAAAGTCATTTTATACAGCCATTTTGAGCAAAACAGGCAAAAAAACTCGATTTGAAATAATTGTTTAAAATTAAAAGGAAATTATAATAGTCATCGGAACTTTTCTGTATTTATTTTACGTCAAAAAAGTATATGCGTAATTTTAATGTCGGTCATACTATTTGGAATATGTCGCATTGTATCATTTTTTTAAAAGTTCCCATATTTTTCAATACAATACTTGCTTCAACAATATATATATATTTTTTTTATCTATAGCTGAATAATTGGTAACTCAATTTTGGTTCCTGATACGTCATACGTTCATCTGGCATAACATGAGAATATTAGAATAGGAAACTAAACGATGAGTCGCACGGGCGTAATAAGATTACGAATGTGTTTGCTTTTGTTGACTTCCCGAGAATGACGCAAATGATTATGCATATCAGAAAAGGGGGCGACAAATATTGTTTGCAAACTCATAAAGTATGTAAAGAATATTATAAAATAAAAAGATTATTATATTAACCCGCATAATAATTATTAACATATATTATACAGTATCGACAATCAAATTGTCAGTGGGTTAATTTGCTGTGAATTCCAATGACGTTAGATAGGAGAAGATTGTTACGATTATTAAGACTAAAATGCAATATGCAATTTTTAGTAACAGTATTATGCTATTGGTTATTGGGAATTCAAAATCTTCCCGTTAGGTCATATTTTACGAATTCTACTAAGGGTAACAAACACTTGGAGAGTGAAAAGTATATGAGTACGCAATTGACGCTCGCAATTCCGTATATTATGCTATTTGTATTACGTTCACTCAATGTAAATTACATATATATTGGAACCTTAGGACGACTGGCAAGTATGAATATTATTGAATTAACGTGCTTCAGATGCGTATGTTCGGCCACTTCAACGTATTAGATATTTCATTTGATTCTCATCAATAAAACCACTATTTCATACCCAAATTTAATTGGATGGAAAGAGAATTATACTAAGTCTGATGATTATGTGGTTTATAAAAAACAAATTAGCTTCGTGAAATTTGATGATAGTTAATTGGTATAAGTTAATTTATAATGCATGAAATATTATTACATTTTATATTCTTATTACTAATAAATATACCTCATTTTGAAATATTAGCTCATTGTTCTTATTGTTAAGCGTATATGCGTATAAATTATAGAAGAAACGTGATGCCCCATGGGTTAGTTACATAGTGTGATTGACTTCTTTTGTATGCTATTTTATATTTTATCAAGGACTTTGCAAACCAAAATGTTCCAACTAAGCTTATTTTGACCCAATATTAAATTAATTTATATGCTACTCTATGCATTTGCAACCAATTGGACAATCACTCAGGTTCCCGCATTTTGACAAAACAAGGTCTCGTTCGTTGGTTTGCTGAACAAAATAGCTTGGGGAACCACGGAAGCCAGTACTGACTGAGTACGGTAATTAATACGAAGTGATACTTAGCCTCGCTTCGAATCTCAATATAAGGTAACCACTTCGGGCATTGGCCAATATTTCAACGAGAAATAACCCAATCGATTTTGTTTCGAGAAAATACCTAATTAGTTATGATAATTTTTATATAATTTAATTGAATAATTATGACTAATAGCATCAGTATGAAAACCGTTTAAACGATGATAAATTATGAACTTTTTCATATAGAAAACACAAATATTTAAAATTAAGTTAATTTACCTCTTTTCATAAATAAATATAAAAAACTTTCGCATTTGGAGAAATCATGATGTAACCATCACATTCCTAGTCTTTACAAATGGGCAAAACGAACTACGGTGGTCGTTTTACACAATATTATAGATTTTGAGATCATTTTTTCTCTCTCGTTGTAAGGAATCCCATATTTTAAAAACTGATATATACATAAATCAGGTGTAAACTATCTTTACATTACTGTAGTCTATTATGGTATGAGTTTTCCTACCAATGGAATGACAATGTCGTTGCAATGCATGCTCTAATGTTGCAGAAAACAAACACCACTTTTTACAGTGATACATACAATCAGTGGTGAGATTCAAATTTTGGTGAGATTCACAAAAGTCATATTTTTCAGCCGGTTCTGTTACAAATAAGGATGCCAAGTATGAGTACTTACAAGTATTCGATTCTTATCCGATTCCTAAATTTTCGATTCCGATTCTCGATTCCGAATCTCGATTCCGAATCTCGATTCCTCGACATATTACCGAAAAAATATACCCACCCAAGCAATACCATATGAAATCAAGCAAGACAGCGATGTTCAAATTCTGGACGGACAAGAAGGCCGAAACTAAGTAGTATGGGCAGTGTTCCCTCTAAGGTGTGCGCGTGTGCGCGCGCACACAGCTTTCAGAGGCTGCGCACACGCATAGATTTACTGCGCACAGACGTATTTCGATGTAATGTAACAATTTTCTCGGTTGGCAGGTTGAGAAAGTTTGTTGTTGGCCCACCCATTACCCGGTTAGAACGCCAAAATTTCTTCATTGGTTTTTGCACAAATATTAGCCATTTCCAAAAAAGTGCGCACATACTAAAAGTTCTGCGCACACATACTACAAGAAATTAGAGGGAACATTGAGTATGGGTATCCAATCTGCCACAGGAGACAAAACAGCACAAAAAAAACGAATCCCTCAGAACCCACAGAGATTTTTAAAATAAATAAACGTTAAAGCCTACTAGCGATATTTATAATATGTATATTATATAAAGTGAAGTTTGCGGTGTCGTAGCAACTCAACATGGCAGTGAAGCAGTTTATATATATATATATATATATATATATGTGAAGAAATTGCCACAAAACGTTACACATTGTTTGCAATCCAAGTTTCAAACTCGAGAATCGATTCCGGTGCATCGGAATCGATTCTAGTCGATTCCGCGAAGAATCGATTCTGTAATCGAATCCGGACTCGATTCCGCCATCCCTAGTTACAAACAGAACATTGACAGTAATACTTACCGGTTCGCTGATCTCATAAAATTTCGTGAGACGGTTCTATAGAACCGGTGCGAACCGGCTGAATCCCACCACTGCATACAACCAGGCCAGGCAAATTATTGACTTTTTTTCTTTTTTTATGACTATACACGCTGTACACAGTGTTGAAAGTCCGGAATCTTCATCGAGTTTAGTCACAATTTTCCGCGTAACTCGACAGGTTGTAGTTTCTTGTCTATTTGGAATGGCCATGGAAAACAAACTCAAACTCAAATAGAATTCACTGGGGATCATGTCACTAAATCGAATTATGTAATTTTGGTCTGTGATAGCGGTATCTTGTTTGGTAGATCGCGAGAGCGCTTTCGAAAAGTACAATGTAATTAAACCGAAATACAATAATCGCGTTTGCGTTTAAATTGATGCAAATCTAAATGTTTAATATTTAATTTCTTACATCAACGACATCTTTCAATTTCGGCACAACCTTTTTAATTTATCACACTATAAATGAAATTGTAAGCATGGCGTTTATTTCATAGCTCTATAAACCTGACAGACCAGTATAATTTAGGCCCAGTGCTATTATCATTGCGCGTTCGTTTTCCTAATGCTCCATAGAAAAAACAAGCTGTATGGAGATAGTCAAATTCCAACGTATTTCATTTAAACCATTTGTCTTTTACGAATTACTTCGATTGTAACATATCGTATATATATTATATTTATATCAGTTATATCCAGACGCCAATATTAAATTATGAGAATTTCCACTAGTATAATCCATTAAAATAAATAATATTTTTACCGAAGCAAAGTCTGTAAAAAGGGGTGTAAAATACAAAGTCAAGTCAAGTCTGGTGCTTTGGCTGTGGGACTGTTCCCACTGAAGCTTATAACTTTGGTCTGAGCACACTTTCAAATATTATATAGAGGCCGTATTCATCTGGTTCAGAATCCTACAAAATTTAAATGATTTGGCAAAAACACATTTGGGCGAATTGGAAAAATGTTGCTGTTTTCTAAATATGGAGTGTTCAAGTAATATTCACACGTTTCGATTCCATTATAAAGAATTTTGTACATGCAGTAAGAGTAACCGGACATAGAATTATAATAGTCGCGTTTTGCGCACTATTGTTTTAAGTAAAACTCCAGCCTGGTAGACAACAAACTCTCGTGCAGATTTCGTTCAGCGTAAATTGCAGCAGTTTGATATAAGCAGTTATACTTACTTTTTTCGCCATTAGAACTCAACATGGCTGCTGTGTCCGTCTGATTTAGGCCGCAGTCGACAGTCTACCCTGATGACTGGCAAACCGGCTAATTATTCATCTCAGTGGGCTGTTTATACTCAATGTAGTCCCGCCAAAATTCTGCGTCGTAGTTTTTCAAATGCTTTGTTTAGTGGCCAAAAGAGGAAATCTTCTCGTTATTATATAGCCCTACACTCCGCCTGCTGGTATTGGGAAAATTATTGAAGTTCCTAAAAAGTTACATCGGCACAACCAAAATAATCGGTGATCCAAATGTTTATTCAACTTTTCGCGCGAGTTTTATTCCACACTTTCTCTCCGAATCCGAGCAAGGCCATGGCAGAGATAGTATATATATGTGAAACCCAATATATGTGCATTTCTTTAAATGTATATGGTTAATGAATTCAATATTAAATCTTAGCAAAGCGAACATCAGATGTTATTAGTATATTTAAGTATCAATTATTTGATAATGAGGTTTAATGATACAATGATAATAAGCGCGTTCCAGAGAACTGGGATAATAAAGACTGACATTATCAGAAAAGTGCAACCAGTAATATTAATTTGTGACAATATGCTTCCACTGTAGGCGTTCATTAATATAAAGTCTGGGATGAAAATTATCTGTATGCACAGATTTTACGGTCGAAAAACTTTTTCATAGTTACAAGTTGAACTTGAAAAAGTTGTACGTTGAGAACGTCTAAGACTAGTCATTGTTAAATTGCAACATATCTTAATATATTATGGGCCATGATTTGGGAGGACATGGACATGATTTTTAAAGAAAATTGTACATATAATACCACGAACAGTCAATCTGCAAGAAAAATACTCAATGCAATACCTGCAAATTATGATAGATAAGACCCACGCCAACCGATCTGAATAAACGCGATATATGAGTAACCTTCCATTAATTCGACGATTGATGATTAAATTAGGTGTTTACTGAACTTAAATAATATATATTTATAGTTAATATTGTTATGAAATTTCGCTTTCAGGTTCAACTCGGTTCGTGTAATAGTCATTCGCGTTGGAATTAAAGGATTCAGTGTTTGGAGACAGTAACATAGAGTAAATAATTAGTATATATATGTATCAAAATATATGTCAAGTTTAGCATTTATGTACTATGTACTGTACTGTTCTATGAATCAATATTAATAATTTTGCCACAGATCTAACCCCTCAAACTTTTGTCGCTGTCTAAAATTCATTTCTATGCTATCGGTCCATTATGGATGGTCTGGGTATTTTCGAAGTACTGGAGTTTCGTAATCGAATCGAGATAGTAGAAATTTTGAATCATTCGAAGCAACGTTTCGTAATGCCTAACCCTATTTCTATAACAAAAAAACAAACAAACAAAAACACTTTGCATCCGATAGTGCCACATAAATTACAAACATCAACTTCTTCAACAAACCATAAATGAAGTGTTTGGGGGAAAAGGCTATTTTAATTTAGGTTTGGATAACCGGGTTCACTACTTCCTCTGAACATCTAATTATCAGCAAAGGATGGTCATTTTACAATTACGCATTGGATCATTTAAAAAGTCATATTATATTGGCGTGCACACAAACAGAATTTTGCTGTCGCTTAAGATGCAAGTGACTGGAATCATGAAAGCGATTCATCCAAAATTTCGACATTGTCCAGATGTTTTTATCATCTCTTCTTAAGTTGGTGAGCCTGCTACGTCTTTCTATAATTAGTTGCGCCAGAAGCTTGTTAAGTGGTATTTCTATTTATTCTTTTGTGTCAACTAATATTAATAATATAAGAATGGGGTTATCTGTGAAAGAATATTTAGGGGTTGCAATCTACTTCTTACGTGAATGTGTAAATAACACCCAGGAGCGACGTACTATCGAGATGTACACTGTTCTCGATTTACTCCCTAGTATAGTGCGAGTATGCGATTCTGCATAAAAGTTACACTGCATGATTATTCGATATTTATTACAGTTACAGATTTGTTTTCTTTTTCGTGTTTGATTTTATAAAGAATCGTTACAAAACTGAGGAAATCAAATTTTCTGTTACGTTGCGTCTTGGCAATAGGAACGGTTGGAGTTGCGTTAATAACTGTCTGTGTTATATTATTATAATATACATATATTCACTGAATTAGTTGTATCATTGAAAGTGTTTTACACAAAATGCTATTTTGTCATTTTATTCACTTTCTCATTATTGTTTGTATTTAACAATTGTATGGTGAATACGGTACACAAAAATATGTAGCCTTGGAAGTCAAAGTGGTTTGATGCGATAGCGAATATTTTTAATACTGTAAGTCATGTAACAAAAGAATATTATCATATCAGTTTAGTTGCTTTGTGTTTCTCTTCCGTTTTTTCAAAGCACTTTGCTTTGATATCATGTTATGCGATATACATTATCAAACACCATTGGAAAGCGGCTATTAAAATGTTCAATCTCTACAACGCTGCGTGAATTATCACAAAGCAAACACAATAGAAGGGAAGACAGTTGCAATCTATGCGGGAGAACCAAGGATACAATATTTTTATATTGATAATGACCCAACCGCGAAACGCGGGAGATAAACAAACTTTCGATAGCGACATCGGACGACGCTTACGCCTCCATTTTTTCGTTCGCGAAAAAAGCGCCATCTCGTATATTTGCACGAGGCGCTGAATCGTACTCATCAGTTGAAGCGTCAGGCCGCGATGTGAAGTCGTTCGATCTGCTAGCTATTAAAGTAGAGTTGGACATTATTGGCGCACAGACAGAAGTAAAGTGATGACAGTTTCTAACCTAATTTTATTGTTTTCACAGGTGATTTAGTTAGTTTCATTTACGCAAAGCACAATTATTTAACTGAAAAAAAAAGTACGCTTGTTGACGTATAAAAAAACTCCGACAACAACTGGATTTATTTACTGGCTAAGACATGCGATCTTACGAAACAGCTCGACAATTATCCTACGAAAGCTTCATCGAAACCTTCGGAAAAGTACCGGTTGATAGTTCTAAAGGTACGTGGACTTAGTTTTGGACATTCTGACATTGGAACAGAAGTCTTATTTTTTGACTGAAATGAAAAATACCTATGGTTTCAAACTTTCAATAACGAAATAAAATATTGTAATTAAATTGACAATTTCAGCATTTCTGATTCCTAAACTGTAAAATATAATATATTTACAGATTTCAAACCCGTAGTCAAAAGACGCAGCATGTTCGTTCGTCCCAAGGAAGTAGCGTCTATATTGAAAACCCAAGGGACCAAGGTTGCTACCAACGTAAGTCTAGTCACTTTGAATTTAGATAGAAAATCGTTTCGAAATAACGATAACTATTCCCTTGGCAAAATATCCAAGTATGTTTGGTATGGACCGGTGGGAAAATGCGATGTTTTGAATTTTAACGCTTTGATATCACGATATGAGTGTCTTATTTTGGGCATAAAATAGCGCTCAAAGTTCAATCGAAGTCTTTTATTTTCTCTAAATTTTGCATGTAAATGATGAATTATAAAATTAAGAAGGTGCATAATTCCTATTTATTTCGACAACACGAAGGTCTAATTTTGTACTTCCCGTTAATAATTTTGTTCACCAAAATTACACCCTTGCTTTGAGAAAATCGGATGCAAACTTTTAATTACTGGTTATATATATCTTTTGTGCACCTGACTTCATTGAAGACAAACAAGAAAATAGTGCAATTTTCTCATTACTGACTTGTAAATTATCTCCAGCGTTTCCGTTAAAAATGAAATAGGTTATTTTCAGCAGTTTCGTGCGATTTTGTATGAATAACTATTCTATTTTAAATTTAAACAGACTCAAGAACAAGTACATGATTCCGCATCTGACACAAACAATAACGCAGTAACCAGCGAAGGGATGGTTGGATCAAATAATCAAGCATTTGTAACAAGCCATAAAGGTACATGTGTACATGTATATATATATACATCGCCAAAAGCATAATTGCCTTGAAATCTATAAAAATCCTAATATAAATTCAAAAATTATAGTCTTATAATATATTTATTGCCTAAACACAGTTAATTAAATATTATTCTAAAACAAAAATGGATAGAAAATACGATTTGAACAATTTACCAGCAACGTCACTTCCGAACTTTTTACAAACCCTGGTATTATTCCTATTCTTAACATGAAACTAGCTGTTTATAATTATACAGTAACGCATAATTTTGTGTGAAATTTCATAAATTTGTTCGAAAACGAAGCACATAGCGTAAAAATTCCGTTGTGAGACTTCCTGTATAGCTCTATATATTAACTCCCATTATTGACGAACCATACAATTTTATTATCGGAAATACCAGAAATAATTGAATGCTAAATCGAAATTTGAAAATAATATTAATATTAACTCAAATCAAGTATGAAGTAAATATGGCCGGGGTTTTCATGTTAGATTTATAATCATTCCTTGCTTGTCCAAGTATATTCAATAAACGTGGATGTGTTTTAAATAATAATTTTATTTTTATAGAAACGAGAGTTGAAAGAATGTCCAGAAAATTCAGAAAAATTTCTCTCAGAAAAAGGGATGCCAGTAAAGGTGGTTCAGCCGATCGTAAAAAGGCCTCACTTCACAGGAGTAAAAGCGTATCATTTTTGGGTAAGCATACGAAAAAAAATGTGTTATATGATGTTTTCATTTCAATATATTCAACAATATTTTGTATTATAGGAAAATCCGCATGTGGCAACAGACTTTCCACGTTCAATCCTATTAGCGGTGGAAGAAAGAGTCCAGTTCTAGACGGCTCAGAAACCCCTATGTCCAAGATGAACTCAGCCGCTCATCGTGGATATCTTTCAAAAAAGGACGAAAAAAGAAATTCGTGGATAAGGTAATAAGCTGAAAATAGTTTTATGGAGCAAAAAGATATAAACTACAATGTCCATAGCATACGTAAAACGTGCGTAATGACGTTAAATGTACCTCAAGTGTTTACGACAGACGCAAACACGTATGTGTGAACGGGGTCGATTCGTGTTGTTCATTTTTCGCGTCAATGATTCAGTTATTTGTGTGATCGGACGACATAGCTGGGTCGTGACAAATAACAGTTACACACTATGCCGATACTTAATTAGCTTTTGGTAAACAAATTTTCTACTTGAATCATCCCCATCGGAATTTTTTGTTGTTTTCTCACTCATGTATTTATCAAGTATTTAATTATAGACTCAATCAGAGCATTTGTAGTTAAGCCTGTTGCAGTATGTCAAACTTGAAATTAGATTTTGTTTTATAATTTTTCAAACAGATATTGGTGCATTCTTCAAGACTCATGTCTTTATTGCTATTCAACTCCCAATTCCGATTTTGCCGATGACGTCATTGCACTTGGCGGTTACTACGTCATGTCAAGATTTTCAGGATTGAATTTGCAATCTTCACCTACCATTGCCTTGGAGCGACCTGAACACGAAACCTATGAATTTAAAGGCGACAATCAGAAAGAGCAAAATGAATGGATTATGGCACTGAAAGGGGACATTTTGATTGGAAAACGAAGCTCTGCTGTACTTAAACGGTCAACATCTCTTTTACAACCATCAACGTTGAAACAGATTGTTCCCAAATATCAAAGGGCTAACACGGACACCGATACGGTCTCGAGAGCAAAAGCTAAATTGTTGGGAGACATTTTAGCTCAACAAAAAAGTATTTTAAGGGAACAAATTGCCCTTAAAAAACTGTCAATTTCAAGAGAATCGTTTACCGTCAGCACGAATACGGTTAATGAAGTGCGCTGCAAAACACCTTCAGTTTCTTCATCAACGCAGTCGGAGGACCATGGATATTGTTCTTCTCTTGATATATCTATGCAAGACAACTTCACAGACCTAGACGATTCCAATAACAGCAGACAAAACTCTCCGCCCAATGCGAGATCATTTCGATCTATGAGCACAGTCAGCGTTGCAAGCAGCGGCAGCCTTTGCAGCATAGCTGAAGAAAAACAGAAACCCGCTGAAATCAGTCCCCGCGTATTAGCTGAAATTGAGGTAGGCACTTTTCCGTTTTTTTTATGTATTAAGCGAGCTAAATCCTCTTTATTTTAAGAATTGATTCATATTCGAATTGAATGCTTTATCAGAAACAATGAAAAATAAATATTTTTAAATTTTAATTTACAGGAATTCAGAAGTTTCAGCAAAAAGACAATCGAGGAAAGACGACCCAAAAATCTCATATGATTCAGAAGAACGTACGATATTTGCTTCAGTAATGAAATAACATCACATGATTAATAAATGTCTAAATAAGGCATCAAGAAAACATAATCCAAGCAAACAAGATATCAAGATTATGATTCATCACTATTAAATGACATGAACGCATGATAAGAAATATGAACGGCCAATATGAAAACAGCTACCACAGTTCGGACGTCGTTATAAGGTATAATGAATATATATACGTGTTTTATTGCCTCACTTTCACGGCCTATTACCGATTTTACAAATCATGACTACTTTTACTAAGTTGAATACCTCCGATCGTCTTGATGTCGTTTTATATCTCGTAATTACATGTCATGAAACCCCGCAACCTCTGTGCGATTTATAGCTCGATTATGTGTCATTTATAACTCAATAAAAGTAAGCTAAAGTTTTCATTTTATTTTCACAGATTGGATGTTAAATATCATCATTTTCTCAAATGCAATTCTATCTGAACCGCAGTTTCTGATTCATCACTGCAGTATATTCGACGACACCGATATACGCGCCACTTCTATCATCATTGGTCGGACCAATATATCCAATATCTTTCATGCTCTTGCTATTAAACATTATTAAAGTGTAATTGTCTGCAATTCATCTGAAGGTAGACGTAACAAGACCAAAATTGTGTCACGTTTTCATTCCTAATTGATGCTGACCAAAATCATGTTTTATTCGACTTCGATTAATCAAGTTGTGAATCATTGATTCATGTTATATCAAATGTGGGCGATAGATTACCGGACCAATTGAGCACCATACATAATTGGCCAATCACAATTTGAATTTTGGTTAACTTGGCAAAATTCCACGTCAAATCATATTACTGGAATATACGTCGAATAATGGTATTTTGTGTACCACCGATGTAAGCAAAATGAATCAACTTGTCGACCTATCAAATTTCAATAATTTTTTTATTTGCTAATACGAGTTCACTAAAATATGATATCATCTCGAAGTAATGTAGTGTGACATATATATTATATTTGTTATAATTATAATTTCATTGGTTCCAATTGTTTCAAGCTTGTTTTATTGTTCATTAAATGTTTCATTCATTTCGTTATTTTTCATTTTAACATTATTTCATTCTTGTATCAGAAATATTCAATTTTATTCATATTACGAATTATTTTTAAAATAAAATACTGTGACCCTGTATATTACAGTCATTTGAGCGAAAATATATTGGTCAAGAGCATCGGTTATAATTCGACTTACATCAAATGATATAATATGTCTATGCTCTATAATATGTGTGAGCGTGCTTTTCTCAACTTTATTTAATGCTCAAGTTGAGTGTAAGTTTTGCTGCTCAAAATATTTGAAGCATTCATCGCGAGGTGAAATACAAATAATTGAGTATTTGCTTATTCCTGTTGAGAAAATGTGGATTTTTATTGAACGCGACATCATCAGACAAATCCCAATCTTATATTTGTTAGTACTTGAGGCATAGGTGATTGAGAAACGTGAGGGCGCGACCTAAAAAAAGGAACTTTTATCGAGACATTAAACTGTAGTCATTCAGAAAAATCCGAAATCCAATATTCAATAAATTGACAAATATTTATTACATTAGAAAACTTTTAACATATCAACGGGGAATAATCATTACATCATTTTCATACCCGCAGCGCTTCGTGGGGTGTAAGCCTTATCAATTTTTCTCGCGCGGAAGTTGGTAACATTCCAAAGGCTTATCATAAACGACTTTTCCACTACGCAAACACCGCGGTAATCGACGGGTGATGAAAACCAGATTACAGCTTAAAGTTTATCTTAGTAAGCTAAATAATAACTTCAAGTAGAGAAGAAAGTTTATATAAGGACAAAGATGATTCGTGCCCCAAGGGCGAATCGCAACCAGGGAACATGCTCACCTGGTCTGTAATTCAAGTATGTGCTATTTTGGCGAAGCATGAGCTGATGAGTAATTAATGCAAACAATGCAGAGGGTACGGCTACATTCTCCCTTTAAGTAACGGAAACGGAAAAATATATGGCTCTTGAGAACTTCCCGATGCGTCTTTGGGACTAAGGCTATGATTGCTTATATAAACACAATAAAGCGTGAGCAAAATACCCAAACCACAGGTCGCTGGAGTGGGACGACCAACCCACTATATACACTTGGCTATACACACTGTTCTTCTACTATGCTAATTGAATGTCCCTCTATCATGGGAAACACAGGACTTCAAATGTAATGGCGTGTTGCACAATAATAATAATAATTGAATTTGCATGTTGGCTGTGACGCGATTGCCATAGTAAAGTTTGTTTGGGTAAGTATTCGTGCGATAAACAAATTTACGAACAATAGCGTTGTAATGCCTCCTGATAAATGATGGTAGTAAGATGGGAATATGAATGTTATTCGAAAAATAATTTCACTCATTATGAGAATTTATGACGCGAGTTTCGCTCATATAATTGACTTTAATGTTAAAATATACAAGAACTGGATATAATTACAAAATTACGTCTTTTATTTTATGTGTCTCTGAAACAAACCGTCAAGCGCCAAATTTTTCATGCCGGTATTTCGAAACACAGGCAAGCTAATAAAAAAATATTTATTTAAGCATTTGAAGTAAGACATAAAATTACTATTGAAATAAATAAGAAAATATCGCAAAATTTAGTGATCTCGACCGGTCAAGTTCAGAAAACACTTTTATGCTCTTGTTAAGTGACCAACTAAGTAACGATTTGAATACAATTTATGACGGGAGAATATTCGCTCCCCGTACGGTCGCATGAACGTAACTAGAACTAAAGCACCATTTACTTGTCTGCAGTCATTCCATTAACTTGTTTCCTTGGCAAAACAAGCCATTCCAGGTTTGTGAGTTCGCAAAACAAGCCAAGTTTTAATTTAATGATGAAATTCAGATTTTAAAATATGGCCAATTTTGTCTTTGCTTGGATTTGATTCACCAATCATCGAAACAGTGTGTAATAAATTTCTTGCTACGCGTTGCACGAATGATTCACTCTACTAGCATGTCTCGAGGTCAGCAAAAAAACTGCCAAAACAGTAGCTCTAACGATCTCGCACACAAGGACCGTTTTCAAGATAACACATTCCATTAGCAAAACATTTTCAAACATTTTTTGAACATATTTCATTAACACGCGATAAAGATACAGAATAAATTTGTTGATATTTGATTGTAAAATTTTCGACCATTTCGTTGGTTACTGCGTGTAACAAGGCGATAGATATAAAACCCAGATATTCTCATTCAAGTATTATATTGTTAGTTTTCAATTCCGGTATTTGACAGTAATTTGGCTGTTGGGATTGACAGACCAAAATAGCAAGTAGTCAGTGATAGAGATATTTGACTCTGAAAGACTGACATTGTTTAAGATCAATTCAAATTTCAGCGCACAACAGCACCAAGCATAATATTTGAGTGTGACTTCGATGCCAACGCACAAAAACCACACAAAAAGGCGCTACATAACGGTTCAAATGTCCTGCAAGTGGCATATTCTTCGTTGGAGAGTACGGTTTCTAGAATAGTGAGACGGGCAACGTAAGTTTTAGGATGATGCTTTAGTTCAGTGGTTGCCGAACTTTTTTTTGGCGACCCCAATTTTCTTAAAATCAAAGTCTACAGATACTCGCGACCCCAAAACTAGAAACGTTCAGCAACTCCAAAAATTATTATATAAGTTTAATCACAATGTACCTGTATATCGAATGCAAGTAGACGTTGACGGTGAACATTGGCCCAAAAAATAGATGAACGAGTCCGGCAATGCGCCGGAAAAACGGGGAAACCTCAGAAGATTGGATAACACATGGAATCGCATGAAAACCACGGTGTAATAATCTATTAGATTGTAATTATAATGGTTCTTTGAGGAAACATAGATGTGCTTGATAATATGTGGTAGATTGTAAGGACGCGCACGATATTCAGAAATAGTAAGATTGTTTCTAAATATATATTAATACAAAATCTTATTTAGTATATTCCAACAGCGTCTGTATTATTTTAGTTCTATATTAACATATTACAGACTGTTCAATTGTTAATTCGAAAATAAAACAGATCATGAATGTAAAGTAGGAAAAAAGCGTGCACGAATTCAAATCTTTTAAGAGCCTTTATTATGCTAGGACTTGTGGTTTTGTGTTTGACTGCTCGGAACGATTCGTAATTTTGTATGAAACGTCTAAATTCGTGATATCGCAATACGAAGTTCACCTATGTGGAGGCGGTGTGGACAAAACACTACTCATTAGGATGTAACATGATCAAAAAAGGTATTAAAAAAGAAAATGTTATTGGCGCTCGTACCATTGTCACGCAATTATATTTACCAATACCGGAATAATACCTGCCGACCAGATGGAAAGGTACCGCATGAAAGTTATACCGAGCAATTTTGGCGCCGTTTGGACTATAAATGCTGGAGTTATTTCAGAAAAATCCGAAGTTAGGCACTTTTACGGTACCTGCCGACCAGTACAAATTTGATTTTTCAACTTTTAAATCCTAGTCATTGTGTGTGCATGTTTGGAAGAAATAAGGCGACCCCAGAAAATCTTCACGCAACCCCATCGGGGATCGCGACCCACAGTTTGGGAGACCACTGCTTTAGTTGTTTTGTAAAGTTTTTGTCCATAAGTAAGAAATCCGCGAGCAAAAATGCAGTCATTATTTAAAACGAGTCAAAGAAAAAAATGTGGTGAAATAGTAAAAATGGACAAAGCGTAAAGATATGGTCGGCTGGGCTTTTCGGTTTTCGTATTGTCTAACAAAAAAAAAATGTAATTTATCGCATGGAATAATAAATTCTAAACGTTCATAATTATTATACATCTGTAAAATAAACATAATATGACAATTTAAGAGATCAGTTAACCGGTAACCAGAATATATTGTTATTAGTTCATTGTTAGTAGGCTAAATGTTCGTTCATAACATAATTTCACCATTTTTTCACAAATGAAATGTACAATAAATCGCAGTTTTCCCATAATTAAAATAATATACTTCCGATTAATCGTATCTTTGATTTTAGTAGCATGCAGAACCGCGAGGCCTCATGTTACCTATAAATTAGCCACAAAAGAGTGATTTCAAAGTCTCGAGGATTGTAATTAGACTAACTAAATACTAGGTGGAGGTACCAGGTTGTGCCGGCACTAGCTGGGCATAGCGGTAATAAACGAGGAAAACCGCTCGCCACGAATACTATCATCAGTAATCCTATTGTTTACACTGAGCACTGTTGTAGCAGTAACCTACCATTATGGAACTGAATAAGAAGTAACTTTACTGAACGTTACATTGACATTAAATTAGCGGAGTGATTGAAGGTTTACTCCACAAGAGAAAGTCTGAGCATTGGATATCCTATTGACCTTCGACACCTTGACCTTTAAAGAAAGCACGTGACGCATAATCTGGATGAAAACCAGGATCTGTTATTGACGGATGGAAAAAAGAGCAAAAGCACTGATAAAAAGAATTTAATCCACCGAGGAATTTGCATTTCATTTGTACTCAAGAATTGGTTTTTATTGAAAAAATTTTCGAACTTTTTGTGAATTGAACTTTTGGGAAAATGCAAATATAACATACACGGTAAGATTTTAAATCAGTTTACTTGTAAACTGCTTGTCTGAGAAAGTCTGACTCTGGTCGGACGAAACGTTACAGAAATACATTTGTGTTAGTGTGCAGCTGGACTCTTTAATTGGATAGAATAACTTTACATATACCGTGTTTCCCCGAAATAATACTGGACCCTATTTTAATTTTCTTTTGAAAAATAACAATAGGGCTTATTTTCGGGGGATGTCTTTTATTTATATATATTAAATCAAAATTACAAAATAGAGAATTGCGAGATTTTTCAAATATACAAAATATGAAAACCGATATCCATTTACTTAAAAATAACACATTTTAGAATCATTTAAAACGTGGGGGAGAGATTTCTTGCTATCGACTAGGTCAAAAAAAAAAAAAAAATCGCGCCATTGACTGGGTCTTATTTAAAGGGGATGGCTTATATTAAAATCATTTTCAAAATTCGGGCTAGGTCTTATTTTCAGGGTAGGTCTTATTTCCGGGGAAACACGGTATATACAATAATGAAACTGAAAGCTTAATGCGGCTCATTTCCGACATCTAGCGTAGTCAATCTACAATACCTTCTAAATTCTTCGCAAACTTGTTATTACTCCCGAAAAGGTGAAAAATGGAATACTCAATACTTTTTTAATAAGAGAATTGCGAGTCGCCGCGGTGAAATCATTCAAGGGTATTTGTATGTTTCTGTAGCATCAAATAGATGTAGGCGTGAGAATTCTTACCCAAAGTATAGGGTCGTTATACCATAGGACATCGCAAT